AGTAGCAGAAAGAGAAACTTAGAAAACCATTTTGTTTACAATTACACCAAAAAATAATGTTTCAAGGAATAAACTTATCTAAGGATGCGAAAGGCTTGTGCTCTAAAAACTATGAAACACTGATGAAAAAAACCGAAGATGACACAAATAAATGGAAATACAGCCCGTTCTCATGGATTGGGGGAATATTGATAAAATGTTTCTACAACCCCAAGGCAATCTACAGATTTAATGAAATTCTTATCAAAACACCAACAGCATTTTTCCACAGAACTAGAATAATCCTGAATTATTCTGAATAATTCAAATATACAACTTAATGACTTTGTAAGTTTACATATTATGCTATATTCACCACAAGTATAGCTACCATGACCCTGAATAACCAAAGCAATCTTGAAAAAGAACAAAACTGGAAGTATCACAATCCCAGATTTCTAGATATACTACAAAGCTATAATAATCATAGCAGTATGGTATGGACACAAAAATAGACACATATGTCAATGGAATAGGATAGAGACCCCAGAAATAAACCCACAATTATATGGTCAGTTAATAGATGGCAAAGGAGGCAAGAATATGCAATGGAAATATGCAAGGTCTCTTCAAAAAGGGTGTTGAAAAATCTGGACAGCTACATGCAAAAGAAGGAAACTAGACCACTTTCTAACACCATACACAAAAAGCAACTCAGAATGGATTAAAGACATAAATGTGAGACCTGAAACCATAAAAACGCTAGAAGAGAACACAGACAGTAATTTCTCTGCCATTGGCCCTATCACTATTTTTCTTGAAGTGTTTCTTTCCTAAGACAAGGGAAACAAAAGCAAACAAAACAAAAAAACAACTGATAGCACTTTATCAAAATAAAAAGGCTTTGCACAAGAAAGGAAACAGTCAACAAAACTAAAAGACAACCTACTGAATGCGAGAAGATATCTGCAAATGATATATGTGATAAGGGATAAATATCCAAGATATATAAAGAACTCCTACAACTCGACACCCAAAAACCGAAATAATCCAATTAAACAATGGACAGAAGACATAAACAGACATTATTCCATAAACATAAAAATGACCAACACATGAAAAGATAGTCAAAATTTCTAATAATCAGAGAAATGCAAATCAAAACCACAATGACCTATCACCTCACAGCTGTCAGAATGGGTAAATTGAAGAAGACAAGGAACAAGTGTTGGTGAGGATGTGGAGAAAATGGAACTCTCATGCACTGTCGGTAGGATGCAAACTGGTGGAAAACAGCATGGAGGTACCTCAAAAAATTAAAAATAGAAATACTATATGACCCAGTAATTCTATTCAGTATTTACCCAAAGACAATGAAAACCGTGATATAAGAAAATATGCACCCAGAGGTTTATTGCAGCATTGTTTACAATAGGCAAGATATGAAAGCAACACAGGGTTCATTCATAGATGAATGGATCAAAAATAGATGGGATACTCACACACACACACACACACACACACACACACACACACACACACACTGGAATATTACTGAGCCATAAAAATGAAATTTTGCCAGTTATGACATCACGGATGAATGTAGAAAGTATAATGTTAAGTGAAATAAGTCTGTCAGAGAAAGATAAATACCCTATGGTTTTAGTCATACGTGGAATTTAAGGGAAAAAAGAAGAAACTTATTGTTTCCAAAGAGGAGGTAAGAGGATAGGCAAAATAGTTGAAGAGGATTAAGAGTACAGTTATCATGAAGAGCATGGAATAATGTAAAGAATTGTTGAATCACTTTATTATACACCTGAAAGTGATATAAGACTATATATTAATTATACTGGATTTAGAAAATAAATAAAATAAAAACACCCAAAATGGGACATACTGAAAATAAAAGTACAATTATCTCAGTATTAACATTAAATGTGAGTGGATTAATCAATCCAATCAAAAGGCACAGACTGCCAGATTGGTTAATAAGAACCAACTCTAAATTGTCAACACGAGACAAACAACATTTAATAATGCTGAGAGACTGAAAGTAAAAGAATTTCAAAAGCATTTCTGTATAATTCATACAGAAAAAAATCTGGAGTTACTATAGATAAAATAGAATTATAGCAATATTACTAAAGACAATGAGGAACATTTTCTAGTGATAAAAAGCATTAATCAGGGATATATAACAATTTTAAAAAATATACGCATCTAACAATGTTTGCTCCAGTGGAGCAAAACTAAGTGAAGAAAGAAATAAGACAATTCAGTGAGAATAGTTAGACACTTCAATATTTCACATTCAAAAAATATTAGAACCTGACAGAAGATCAAGGAAATCTAATATTTTAACATTATAAATGAACTAGACCTAATAAACATCTATACAAGTCTTCGCTCAGAAGACTACACAATTTTATCAAGTACACGTGGAATATTCTCCAGAACAGAACATGTACTATGCCAAAGAAGAAGCTTCTCTCTATATGTAAGTTGAAATAATGCAGAGCATGTTCTCTAACCACATTGAATGAAATTAGACATTACTAATGGCAATGGGTTTGGTAAATTCACAAATAGGTGGAAAGTAAAATACTACTGAATAATCAATGTGCCAAAGAAGAAACAAAAAGGAAAATTAGAATATTCTGAGAAAGAAATCAATGAATTATAAATTAACCTCCATCTTAAGAAAGTGGAAAAAGAGCAAACTACACCCAAGGCAAGAAGAAGGAAGGAAATAGAAAGATTGGAGCAGAAATTAATAGAGAATAAAACAATCAGTAAAACCAAAAAAGGGTTCCTTTGTAAAGACCAACAAAATTAACACACCTTTATCTAGACTGGACAGGAAAAAAATTTAAGACTTAAATTACTAAAGTCAAGAATAAAAGGATAAATCACTGTTAATTTTACTGAAATAAAAAGGATTATAAGGAAGTACCATGAATAACTGTATGCTAACAATTAGATAATTTACATGAAGTAGATAAATTCCTAAAGAGACAAACAACCAACACTGAGTAAAAAAGAAAGAAAACGTTAATGACCTACAACACATTTTAAAAAATGAATTGGTAATTTTAAAACTTCTTGGAAAGAAAAGCCCAGATCCAGATGACCTTATTGCTGAATTCAACTAAACACTTAAAAAAATTAATACCAATTATTCATAAACCCCTTTAAAAAATAGAAGAGGGATCACTTCCCAACTCATTCTATGAAGCCTGTATTATTTGATCTCAAAACTAGACAAAGACACTACAAGAAAACTGTAGACCAGTATCTCTTACGAATATACATGCAAAATACTCAATAAAATATTAACAAACCACATTAACTTTAAGAAGGATTATACACCATGACCACATAGGATTTATTCCAGGAATGCAATATGAGTTTAACATGTGGAAATCAGTGTAATGTAACTTATCCATAGAATAAAGCGCAAATCCCACAGGGTCATCTCACTACACACCAAAAAGGCATTTGACAAAATGTAACAGCTTTTCATGATTAAAACCTTCAACATATCATTAATAGAACTTCCTCCACTTGCTAAGGGGCATCTATGAAAAACCCACAACTAATATCATACTTAACTGAAACACCTTAAGTGAAATACTGAACGCTTCCTCTAAGATCAAGATAAAGGCAAGGATGCCTGCTTTCGCCACTGCTGCTCAACATTGTGCTGGAGATTCCAGGCAGGGCAATTAGGCGTTAAGAAGGAATTAGGCATTCAGGTGGAAAAGAAGAAGTAAAATTATTTCTATTTGCAGGTGACATGATGATACCCTGTATAGAAATGCCCAAGCAATCCACTAAAAATTATTAGAACAACGACAACAAAAAAGAATTCAACAAGGTTGCAGGGCAGATCAAAATATGAAAATCACTTGTATTTGTATAAATTATCAATGAACAATCTGAAAGTTAAATTAAGAAAATAATTCTATTTATAGTTGCAAAAAATCAAGTATCTGAGAATAAATTAAATAATTGAAATCTTATAATCTGAATATTAAAAAACATTGTTGCAAGAAATTAAGAAGACCTGGGGTCCCTGGGTGGCTCAGTCAATTAAGCATCTGACTTCAGCTCAGGTCATGATCTCATGATTCATGGGTTTGAGCCCCACAACAGGCTCTGTGCTGACAGCTCAGAGCCTGGACACTGCATCCAATTCTGTGTCTCCCTCTCTTTCTCTCTCTGCCCCTCCCCTGCTCATGCTATGTCTCTCTCTCTGAAAAATAAGCAAACATTAAAAAGTTAAAAAAAAAAATCAAAGAAGACCTTAAAAATATCAAAGTCATCCCTCATTCATGGACCAGAGAACTTAACACTGTGAAGATGACAATCCTCTCCAAATCGATCTTTAAGATTTAACACCATCTCTAACAAATTCCCAGTTTTTTTTTCTTGGAAAGTAGCACTTTACTTCCTAAAATTCATGTGGAAATTCAAGGTACATGTAATAGACAAAACAATCGTGGGGGAAAAAATAAGATTAGAGAATTCACACTTCCCAGTTTGAAACCTTCTACAAAGTAACAATAATCAAGCCTGTGTGGTCCTGGCATGAGGATAGACTTATAAATGAATGGAATGGAATTCACAGTCCAGAAATAAACCCTTACATTTATAATTACTTGATTTTTGGTGTGGGTGCCAAGACAATTCAATAGGAAAATAATCGTCTGAATAGTCTATTTGACAAATGATGCTGGGACAACTCTGTAACCATAAGCAAATGAATGAAGCTGGACTTCATATGTAGTAATTCACTCAAAATAGATCATAGACCTAAATGATTATACAAGGAAAACTACAAGACTCCTAAAAAGAAAATATACAAGGAAATACTTGTGACCTTAGGTTAGACAAAGCCTTCTGAATTATGATACCAAAACACAAGGAACAAAAGAAAAAAAAAAATTCTGCTTCATTGCAAGAAAAAAAACGTTTGTGGTTCAAAGGACACCATTTAAAAAATAAAACAACAGTGGTTGCTTCAGCAGCAAATATCCTAAAATTGGAACGATACAGAGAAGATTAGCATGGCCCTTGCACAAAGATGACATATAAATTCATGAAGCGTTCCCTATTTTATGAAAAAATAAAACAACCCACAAAATTGGAGAAAATATTTGCCCCCATCTATCCAACTAGGTACTTGTAACTAGAATAAAGAACTCTTACACCTCAATAATAAAAACACAAACCAATTTTAAAAATGGACAGAAGAGATGAATAGACATTTCACCAAAGATGATACACAAAAAGGCAATCAGCACATGAAAAGATGCTCAGCATCATTAGTCATTAGGGAAACGCAAATAAAAATCACGTTGGAGATAGCTATAAATAAAAAGACAATAGCAAGTGTTGGCGAGGATGTGGAGAAATGGGGATCCTCATACATTGCTGGTGGGAGTATAAAATGGCACAATTGCTTTGGAAAACTGTCTAGCAGCTCCTCAAAATGTTAAACATAGAGTTACCATGTGCCCAGAAATTCCAGTCCGTGGATATATACCCAAGAGAAATGAAATCATACCTCTATACAAAAACATGTACATAAATGTTCATGGCAGCATTATTAGCAAGATCGCCAAAGGGGAAACAACCTGAATATCCATCAACTGATGAATGGATAAATAAAATTTGGTCTATGTATGCGATGGATTACAGTTCAGCAATATAAAGGAATAAAGTACTGATTCATGCTGCTATTCGAATAAAACCTCATAAAAACTTTTATGCTGAGTGGGAAAAAAAGTCATAAAAGACCATATATTGAATGATTGCATTTATATGAAACATCCATAAAACCTAGAGACTCATAGCAGGTTAACAGATATCTATCCGGGGCTGGAAGTGGGAATGAGAAGGGACTGTAGATGGACACAAGGGATCTTCTGGGTACAAAAGGAAATGTGCCAAAAATTTTTTGTGATGGTTTCACAACTAGGTACATTCATTAAGAGTCAGTGAACCTTACACTGGGTGAATTTTATGGTGCATATACTCTAGCTCAACAACATTGTTAAAACAAAAAAATTATGTGGGATATATGCTCTAATAATGGAATGTGTGACATACTGGGAACAAATTAAGGGAACATCTGTTCATTTTGAGGCTAGAGGACACTGAATATAGAATGTGGAATGCAAACCATTCTTGGTTTCATCTATATTACCCTCTTCTATGGAATCCCTCCTGTTATGGAGGGTTATTCTCTCCTGCTAACACCCTCACCACCCTCCTTTGCCTTCTGTCAAGATCTCTCTTATATTTTAATAGAGTTTAGTATGCAGTTCATGACCTTCCTCCCCATTCTCATTTTGGGAGTTTTTAATAGTCTCAAAGATGGCACATCTGACATGTAAGTCCTCCTAGCTTCTTATCTGTCTTCAACCCAGTGACCTTCCCTCTTCATACCACTTCAGATCATCAGACCCATAGGCACATGTTACAGCTTGTCATCAGCCATATTTCTCTGCCACTTGACTATGCTACCTGCTGAACACAACCTTCTCTTCTTGTTGCCCACTCACTTTTTTATTCTTATGAATCCAACCAATTATTAGATTGTTTAGACCAGGGGTCATCAGCAAACTTTTTCTGTCAAGAGCCAGATAGTAAGTATTTTAGGCTTGGGGTTCATATGACCTCTGTCACAATTCCTCAGCTCTGTGCCCTACTCTGTTGTTGTAGGGAGAACGCAACAAAAGGCAATAAGTAAGTGGGCCTGGTGGTCCTTCAAGAAAAACTTTTATAAAACAGGCCAAAGACTAGATTTTGTTTATGGGACACAGTTTGTACTTCTCTCTCCTTCATGGAGACATAGGCCTAGGCACAGGCTTATAGGAAGGAGTACAAGCAAATTGTTTTACTTTTCTGAGTCTCCCTTTTTCCGTGTATGTAATGGAAATAATGCTTTCTACGTCTTCAAGTTTATAGCAGTTCAATGAGAAGATGAACAAAAAGTTTAAGTGCAGATGATGGCACATAGTAATGAGGAAATTCATGGGTTTTCAAATGAGTTCTAATAAATATATTCTTTCCTCTCCGTTGAGTTCTAAATGAGTTTAGAAATTAGAAAAAAGTAAGCAAGTTTGCCTGGGTAGCTTAGTCGGTCAAGGGTTCAACACTTGATTTCGGCTCAGGTCATGATCTCACAGTTGTTGAGTTCCAGTCCTTTGTCAGACTCTGTGGCTGTCAGCTTGAGATTCCCACCCACCCCCCCTCCTCCACTTCTCCCCCACTTGTGCGTGTACTCACACACATACTCTCTCTCAAAATGGAGAACCACGCCCCAAAATTCACTGTCATATATAAGAAAGGTGACGTTGGAGAATGTTGCATGTCTATGGGCCAGGGGTCTAATACTGAATTCCGGAATCAGAGAAGCTTACCTGTCCTGTCCAAGCAGCACTAGACCAAGCCAGGCCTTCCGGAACAGGAATCAGTAGAGAATTTTGGGTTCCTTCTTAAAAAAAAATTATCAAATGTTCTTCCAAACGGATGGAAATATCAGGAGTGGGTTCTTAATGTTCTGCCTAGAACAAATGTTCGTTTTCTTCCCCCACTGTCCCCAGACTGGATGTTCATGAGGTCAGAGCAACCTCTCCCACAAGGGTACACACACATTCTTGTAGTTTCTCTGAGTGTGTGCCAGGAGAGTTTCTTAGAGGCTAGTTCAAACTTCTCTACAAATGTATTCTAAAAGTAAAGAAGAATAAACTCGAATCTCCCGGGGCCTATGGATATTGCTATAAAAGATCCTGCTAAGAGATGAAAATTCTTTAGCGGTCTTTTATCTTAAAAACCAAGCATATGTTGCATTTTTCCCTATGGTTGAAGTTTATTTACCAATTAAAGAGCTTTAATCACCTACCCCTAATGCAAAATAATTGAGTAAAATTAACAGTGTGAAAAAACGTACTGTGTACATTTTCTAACAACCTTCCTGCCACACATATGGCCTCACTCCCTCCACCATCAGGCAAAATAACTTCCAGAAGCACAAGTCAGGACTATGTTACTTCATCTAAAATTCAGCTCTCTTTCATCATGTTTACTTCCTCTCAATCTGGTCTCAAGGATTTTGGAGCCAGACCCTACTTTCTGTGGGGTGCAGGTCCACAAAGGTCAGGGTCCTGGAGCTCCAGCCCCAACTCAATTGCTGAACTATGAGCTCAGACCGGTTTTGTGGCCTTTCTCCACATCACAGGCTCTTTGTTACTAAGGGTGGTAGTGTTTGTCCTGACCAGCTCAACACTATTACAAAACAACATGAGCTAATTATTTTAGGGGTGCAAAGCAAATGCCTGTTTACTGTGGTATTCTCTATGTGATCATGGTAATTATGCCAGTAGCTCAGAGCACTGTCTTTCCCCACTCCCCAATAAATTCCTTTAGAAATTATCTATCATATCTCTAAGCCAATCTCCAACATGCTATGATCACAGTCCTGATATCCATACGATTGTATGGATATGTGCCTGGAAAGATTGGCAAACAAGTATTAAATGTATATACATAGACCCTATATATGAAAAACATGCATGTATACCTATATACATATCTATATCGATATCTCTATAATTGGATCTATCTATATCTTCTTATACCTCTCTCCATATTTCTATCTATATAGATATCCCCATGCAGAGCAATTCAAGTTGAGCATGGCTGGTGTAGTATGGTGTAACAGGTCATCTGGTAGGTGGCTGTACTGTGAACATGTACCACCTTTAGTGGTAGGGATACTCATGTCCACAGAGTTTGCTCCTTTAGATCTGCCACAGATCTAAGTTGTACTGGGATTTAGACCTATGGCTCTTCCTTTTATGACCTGAGATTTAACTTAAATCATTGTTGGTTAGGTTCATTTGTAGGTATCTTACTGTTTTTGGTGCAATTGCAAATGGGATTCATTGATTTCTTTTTCTGCTGCTTCATTAGTGTATAAAAATGCAACAGATTTCTGTATGTTGATTTTCTACCCTACAACTTTGCTGAATTCATGTATTAGTTCTAGCAAGTTTTTGGTGGAGTCTTTTGGGTTTTCTACACAGAGTGTGTGTCTGTCTGTAAGTCTGTCTGTCTCTCTCTCTCTCTCTCTCTCTCTCTCTCTCTCTCTCTCACACACACACACACACACACACACACACACACACACACACACACAGGAGTATTACTCAGCCATCAAAAAGAATGAAATCTTGCCAAATGAAATGACATGGATGGAGCCAGGATGTATTATGCTAAGCAAAATAAATCAGAGAAAGACAAATGCCCTATGATTTCACTCATATGTGGAATTTAAGAAACAAAACAGATGATCATATGAGAAGTGGTGGGAGAGAAGAATGGTGGGAGAAACAAATACAAGAGACTCTTAATACAGAGAACAAACTGAGGGTTGATGGAGGGAGGTGGGTGGGAGATGGGCTAGATGGGTGAGAGATAAAAGGAAAGCACTTGTTGTGATGAGCAATGGGTGTTGTATGTAAGGGATGTATCACTAAAATCTACTCCTGAAACCAATATTGCACTATATGTTAACTAAAATGTAAATTAAAAAAAGCAGTATATGCAGTTGTTTACAGCAAGAGAAAGAACTTATGAAAAAAAACACTACAAATATTGAGAGAAATCAGCCAAATCAAGTCTCAGTTGTTCAGGAACTATAGACAAGGGCTTCTGTTTTCCTTCTTCCCAGTTTTTCAAATACTTCTGCTACTGTGGAAGTGACTACTTCCTCATGATAGCAAAACAAAGGCATTATTAAAGGAAATGCACTTGGTATAAAAATATGCAAGGCCTCAACCACAGGTGGCAATAGGCTGTAATTAGATCTATTCTCTAAAACGCACTGAAGAACTCCCTCCTGGCTTCTTTCTCCTGGCTGTGTGGAGTGAGCAGGGGCAGGTCATGGACGGGAGTTTTGTGATGCCAGGTGGCACACTGTGGCCATAAATGGCATTTCAGCTTTTGACCAATGAAGCTTAGAGGGAAACTCTAACACTGAAAATAAAGACTGCTTGAACCAAAGAAATTCTGGATGGTTGTAATTCCTCTGAAAGAATATGTGCATCCAT